AGCGGTGGAACCAAGTGGACAGCATAATCCTCGTAAGTATACCGAGGACTTGCGACATTCGCATCCTCCCCAGATGTGCAGGAGGCCGCTAGCAAGGCGGCCGAATCTGGCGGAGTAGAAGGTGGAGTCGCCTCACCTTCCGCGGAGCTCAGTTTCCCGAGCTGAGGCGGGGTCGCATATCCTCCTTGCCCTGATCTTGGCACAGGGAGGTCTTGTGCTTGGTGCTGTTGCACCAATAGCAGTTGCTGTAGCGGCCACGGACCTTGTACTCCCCCTCGGTCAAGCCAAACTTGACCCATGGAAACTGTCCTGGCTGTCCATTTCCGGCCTGCGATGCGGATTTCGCCTTCCCATTGTTGCGGGACTTGTTGGTGCTTCGCGGCTGGACAGCAGCCACCTGATCTCCGTCACTTGATGCTGGAGTGGCTGCTGGGTTATCCCCACTGTCCTGCTAGACTGCAGCGAAGTGCTGCTGTCGCGGACCAGTTCTTACCTTCTCCACATAGGTCGGCTGCCATGATGTTGATTTCTCGTGTGCAGCTGACCTGTTGGTCTTGATGATCTCCCTCGCTTTGTCAATAATCTCCGCGAAGGTTGAGTACTGCTCGCGATCACCAAGAGCCTGGCTCAATGCAGCACAGGACCTGTTGTAGAACTCACGGCGTAGATGTTCGAATGGTAAGTTCGGATTGGGCACAGCCGCAATCTTCTGCCACTCCGTGAGCCAGTCCCGTGTTCCTGTGTTGCCCTGTGACATGGTGAACAATCGGTTGATGGCGAGTGCTGGCGTGTCGTCGACGATGAACCGCTTCTTCCACAGCCGTGTCAGTTCCTCCCATGTGATTACGTCCTTCAAGTCTGGTACGTCGACGCCGTGGGAGGTTGCCAGGTGGCTCAACCAGGTCTGGCATCCGCCCTTTGAGTTCAGGAACAGGGTGCCGATGTACGCATGCTTGGCTACGGGCAAAATCCTGAGTTGCGTTGTGAATGCTTCCCACCAGAGGACGGGATCCTGCTGCGTGTAGTCGTCGAACCTCTCCAGGTTGAAAGTTGGCATCTTGTACATCTTCGGATTGTCGTCCGCGTTCGTCGACTGCAGGTTCTGGACCTCGGTCTTCAATGTATGCAGCTGACTGCTGATGGTGGTGGTCGGCGCAGCGAAAGTGCTGATGTCGCCGAGCATTGCCACTACGTGGTCAACGCGGTCCTCCAGTTGGCGGCTTGAGGGTGCACTGCTGGAAACTCCAGCAGTTGGTCCTGGTACAGCCTGTTCCACGTCCAACAATCGGGCATTGAGTGCCCGAGTTGCATCCTCGTGGCTCTGCACATTGCGGCGGAGCGTTGCCAACTCCTGATGCTGTTGCGTCAGGTCCTGGCACTGTCTCTCCAACTCTGACCGTTGGTAGGTGCAAGCATACAGCAACCGTGTCACGAGTTTGGAGAGGAACTCCTTGTGCTGCTCTTCCGGGTTTGCCTCGTCGCCGTTCGGTTCAAAGTGCCAGAACTTGAGTCTGTCGATGCTTGTGGCTTCATGCCGCTGTAGCAGATCCTGGGCTTCCTTGCGGCGAGCCTGGGAATCTGTGTCTGCATCGGTCTGTAGCCGCAGCTTCTCTGCTGCTGCTGCCTCTTCAGCCTGTACGCGAGCAGCCTCGGCTGCCAGCTGGCATTGTTCCTCAGCCTCAATCTGAGCCAGGCAACGCTGCTTGTAGGCGGCAATGGACTCGTTGGGCAGTTGCCCTGGCAGGCCCGTCATGTTGCTGACGTGGCACTGCTGCTAACGTGGCACTGCTGATGTGGCACTGCAGACGTGGCACTGTGTCTGACGTGGTACTGCTGATGTGGCACTGCTGACGTGGCACTGTGTCTGACATCACTGCTGACGTGGCACTGTGTCTAACGTGGCACTGCTGTCGTGGCACTATGTCTGACGTGGCACTATGTCTGACGTGGCACTGCTGACGTGGCACTGCTGACCTGGCACAGTGACGTGGCACTGTGACTTGGCACTGTGACGTGGCACTGCTGACGTGGCACTGCTGATCTGGCACTGTGACGTGGCACTGTACCAAACTGTTGCATACTGTAACGTGCAGACCAGAACAAGAACCGACCTTTCAATACAAAGTATAAGATAGCACAACGGAAGACTTAAATACCAGTGATCCG